CAACCTTTATCAACCAATATTTAATAATTCTCTGGGTGTTGCAAATATCAGAGGTGGAACTGTTATTATTGGATCAAAGGAAAAGATGCCAGTAGAGGCATCATCTTCGGATGGTAAACGTGCTTTTGATAGCACTTTAGATTCGGATTTAATTTCTTCTGTGGAGGTCAAGAAGGTTAGTATTGGAAGCTTGTAAATAGTTGCAATATGTTTTCTTCTTTTTCTTATATCTTGGATATACACAGATCAAATCAATGGAAGAAAGTGACGAACAAAATAATGGGATTGTGGAGGTATCAAATACCTTTATGTTATTATAGCTATATACATCTTTTTAACTGAGAATATATTGTTTTTTATGACTTCCGTAGGAAGAAAGTCAGAAAGCAAAAAATTATGATGAAAAAATTTTATCAGCTGATGAATTGGATTTGGAATATCTAAGAGAACAGATGAACGTAAGCAATAAAAAAAAATACATGTTGATTCTGATTAAAAAATTACTATTTCTATGTTTAATCTAAACTTTTTACCGAACGGATTAAATTCCGGAATATCATCTGCCTATAAGGACGAAGATGAAGAAAATTCTTTAGATGACAATTCTGATGAAGAAGATACGGTTGAACTTGTAGATATATCATTTAATTCATTTGTTGGTTCATCAAAAACCGATAACAAAAATTACAAATGGAAATTAAAGAATGGTGAAAACGTAAGAAGTCGGCTCATAGTTATGACAAAAAAGGCAATCGAAGAAGCAAAACAAGCTGAAAAAGTTGACACGAAAATATTGAGTGTTATAAGGTAATAATAATATTATTAATGGTACTTTTTTAATTTATTAATTACTTTATAAACATATGAACAGGTTGGGACTATCTTCCATAATAGATCTTTCGTCTGAGTTCAAAGAAGGCATGTACACCTGGTTCGGGGACAATTGGATACCATTAAAGAAAAAAGTATTATCAATAATTGACTTGAAAGTTGAAAGATTCACAGGAGAAGTATTAGAATTAATTACAAAAGTAGAAAATGTATATAAACTGTACTACTGTTGAAACTGCTATCAAATGTGGCCAAACTCTTACACATTTCATTATACTATACATTTAGCTTTGTGGTTCATACGATTATTTGGGGGCACGAAAAATTGTATTAGAAAAAATAATGGAACGACCTATTGATAGTCAAATGAGACAAGTAGCAAAAATATATTTCAATATGTATGTTTATTATAATATTATTTGATTTTTTGTTTTGCTATTCACTGAAGTTGAAATTTTTACTTTTTCAGCATTGATTTATTTTTAGAAAATCCCTATATTTTCATCAAAAAAGATGGCCGGCCTCAAAACCATACTGAAATTCAATATGCGATGATTTTAACAGGCTCTATTTTAGACATAATATTCTCAGATCAACGAGATTATGTTAGACTGATATGGTAAGTATTTTATTTATTACCTTGAAGTGGTTATCAATTATGGATCTGAAAATTGATATACAAATTTCTTCAGGGGAGAAGTAGTTTCGCAAGTCACGAATGATTCAAGAAGAAAGATTGACCTTTGTATAAAAACTGAAGATGGCACGAAAGAGCTGAGCCATTCCGAATACGCTCGGGAAGCTACACTTGTAAAAATTATAAAAGATCGAAGTAATCTCTGAGAACAAATAAATGCATACTTGACAAATATCTCGAGAGCAATATTCCTGATGAAGCTTTAAATGATACGGCAATTTTTGGATTACAGCTGGCGGGTAAATCATAGCATCATTGAACATCACACATCATGGTATTAGGATATATCGTTCTCACATCTAATAACATATTTTAGCTTTGGACGGTCAATTGATTGGAGTTGATTTACTGGACGAAGGGCTTTATTTTGGATTCGATGGACCAGCGTTTAAGTTTCCCGCACAGATTTGTAGTATTGACGTCTTAAGACAAGCCTTAGAAATTTTATACTATTTTAAGGTGAGTGAATTTGATCTTTTTTTGAGGCTCTACACCTAATGATTGTAAAAACGCTTATGAAGACTCAATGGATAATAGGAGAAAATCATCAAAAAAGCAAAATATTTACATCAGAATTCAGGCGATAACAAGATTACCAATCTTCTACATTCTGAAAATATTGAGAAGCCAAATCACTTCAAAATTAATTATATCCGGAAAACTTATTTTGAACCAAAACAACAATCGTTAGCCAACGAATCTAAAAATTTGTATACTAAATTTGGAAACAAATAGTTTTCCATTAATTATATACTAATTGTTCGTGCATCTGAATGAAAATTTAAATTTTTGAAATAAACAAGTTTTTAGAATGAGCTAGGAGTTTAGGAGTTAAAAGTTTAATGGTTCGGTAAAATTAATAATAAGAAATTAGGTTA